TTAAAATATATGCGCAAACAACGGATTCTGATTGGCTTATTGATCTCCAAACTATAGAGGAAGTTTGGGGACAAAATTCCACTTAGTATGGGAGGTAGGAGGGGAAAGCATTCTCGCGCGAGGTGATCGCGAGGTTCGGGCGGTTCAGGTGTCAATTAAAAATTGCCATATAAAAATTGCTCGTGTAGGCCGGGCTTAACAATCCACCTATGGAGGGCCAACAATTTCTACCAGTTCCCTGCTCTGTTTATTTTTTTTTTTTGGGCACAAATATCTAGGCTCTCATGTGTTTGATGACATGTAGGCTGTAAAATTTGTAAGCAAATCTGACCTGGAAAACAATGTAACTATTCCAAATGTAGGGTTGGGAGGTGTTAGACTTACCTTTCCTCCTCACTCAGAACAGTGTGGTTCTCAGTCTTGTTTAATCAATAAATTGAGTTCACAGCCTGAACAAGACTTTTTAAGAAGACTTGTGGGAAGAAGGGAACATGTCAATATTTCATTTATCCCTTGATTTAGTCTTACTTTTCCCTCTCAAGATACACAGACTTCATTTCTAGCATACTTTCTGCAATCATTTTCCCCAGGTTCCTTTTCACCCATTCACTTAATCCCTTTCTGAACTAACCGACACTTGAGGTGACACAAAGGATCTCTACCCAACCTTCTCTACTGCTACATTCAGGCTGTCTCAAGGGCCAGCATTCTGTCAGGTTTTGTGCAAGGTTTCTTTTGGTCTTTTACAGTTTTTCTTCCCATGGAGTACCAAGCATGGATTTGTCTAGTCCCCCTCAGTTATGTTGAATGGGAAGACACTGTGAGTGAGACTACCAGCAGAAAGACTACCTTCCAAGTACATTCTTGTGTGAGCCAAAGTACCCCACCCTCCTTCTCCTTGGAGAGAAAAATAGTTCATACAAAATTTTCTGTGAGGAGTCATGGCAGCTTTACTCAGACTATCCTGAGTTGACACTCATCTTTATCATGTCTATGGTGGCAAGAGAGCCGGTTGCATTCTTGGGATGTTAAGGGAGCTATGTCAAAATTTGTGATTGTTGAAAAATGTGAGATTGTCATTTCATTCCTAATCAATTTCCTTCCTCCTTTGTCCCCCTTGTCACGTTTTCATTCTCTCTTTCCCCTTTAATGTTTGCCAACCATAATAAAATATTATTTCACAGTTTCCTTAAAAGGAAATTTTCATGTTGCAGTAAATAAATTAAAATATATTGGTAACAAAGCTACCTTAACTGATCAACTCTCAGAAGAGATTAGTATTTAAATTCTCTCTATAATGTCCACACATTATCCTGCAGACAGGTGATGAGCATACTCAACTTATCATGTATAAGTTGTTAATTTGGTCTTACACCAAACTCTTGTAACTATTTTACAAGGATCTATAGGTATAGCAGCTAGCAGCGAGAAAGAGGGGAGTAGCAACAATCAGATCTTAGGGATTAAAGAGTTAAATGTGGGACTTTGGAAAAAGAGTATTTCCAAATCAAGCCATAACTTTTGTAAAAAACCTACCAAAAAGATGCCCATGTTCCACACAGCCGTTGTGACGTTCCTTTATTATAAACAGTTAATTTTCATACAAATATCAAATTTTTAAAAAAGAGCTTCACTGACTCTGCCTTGCAGGGTCTGGCCCAAAGAAGACACACTCACAAGATTGTTTTCATCTGTATAAATTCTTGATAAAACAAGTTTACATCTGTAAAGATGTATATTAAAGACTTCATATTGTGCAAAAAAATTTCTCTCAAAGTACTTAAATAAACTGTTAATAATAGCATAATACTCATGTAATGGGTCTCCTCCTTGGTCTTTTCCCTTCCACCCAGAGCTGCATTCTGGTGCTTTTTGTCCCTCTGCCTTCACTTGTAAGCGTCATAAAGTAGACTGTTGCCAAGACAACAACCACAAGAAGGCCAATAATTAAGAATGTATATGTATTTGTAGTAGAAGTTGATGGTGATCCAATCTCTCTCAGGTGTAGCTGTGCTAGTTCAAATGATGGGTTAAGATCCAGCACATGTCTGAAGTGTATCCCAGCTTCTTCCAGGTCTCCATTTGCTCTGAGTATTTCGCCAAGAGTAAAATGCTGAAGCCAGCAGTTATGCTCGGATGGTTGCATTTCTAGTGATCTTCGCGCTAGGTATACAGCATCCTGAATATAGTTCAAATTGAAAAGGACCTTGGCAAGATTTAAGAGGGCATCAGCATCATTTGGTGAAAAATGCAACACTTTTCTGAAGCACTCTATGGAGTGGTATGTGCTTCCTCTAATTCTCCAGAAATTTCCAATGTGATTACAGATAACAACTGAATTAGGACTCTGCAAGAAAGCACACAAAATAAGTGTAAAAAGGAATAAAACAGACTTCCATAAGGGTGCAGGTGGTTTTAAAAAATAAGATCAATAATTAGCAGTGGTGAGGGGGGAAAGGGGGTGTAGAACAAGAGAACCAGGAGGGGAGGGTGAGAGTTTAAATGACAAAAAGAATGCAATTTCAAGAGAGCTGGTGTTCCAGCTGTCTTAAAACCCTCCACAATTCATGTATTTAAATTTTCTTGAAACTAGATTTACTAACAATCCTTGCTAAATGGAGAATCATAAAAATAAAAATAAATGCGTTATTAGGCAAAACGATAGATTTTCATCTAGCTCTTTGCAGTATTTTTTGTGCAAAAGTTGCTGTTTTACAGACAATGAGTGACTCAGATTTTCTTCATGGATCTTAACGAGGAAGAGCAATTTGAAATTCTTAAACCAATGTTCAAAGGATAGTCTACAAACAATCAAGCAATAAGTGATCATGGAGATTTAGCAAGGAACAAGAAACTTAACTTCCTGTCTACGAAGTATTAGACACTCTAGTTTGAGAGAGAAAATTCACAACATTATTAAAGTATGATCATCTACTTAAATTTATAGCACTTTTGTTGCAAGTAAATTCGATGCTGAACATTTCAATATATAGTTTATGGCTGTAAAACTGAGGAGCCATAGACACTTTTGCCACATAAAGCAGTTTTCAAACGAGTGTCAAAAAACCCAAGCCAAAGTAATCACAACTACCAATCAGAACAAATGGTTAAAATCATCATTAAACAATAGAACTCAAAGTAAAATACAGGATACATGCTTGAAGCATGGGAAAATGCAAGCCATCATGTCAAGGTTGGTTTAAATTTTACATCTGATAAGTTGAGAAGGTGGCATGAGTAAGAGAGTAAAGTAAAGCAAAACCCGCAAAGCAATAAAGGATCACTTTTGATATTCTATTAAAATTGCTCCATACTAACAATGATA